AGGTTGCGACTCGGTCAGCTGATCGAAGATCACATGGCAAAGGAACATTCATAATGATACTTCTGTTCACCTCTTTTGCTCACTTCGAAGCAAAGGTTGGCACCCTGGTCAGCTGATCGAAGATTTGTTGGCAGAAAAATATAGGTTATCAAGAATGTCGAATAATGGCTCCTGAGATTGGGATGGGGAACGGGTTTTAGTAGAAGCGATGTTGGTGCTCGGAATTTATCGACTTTATTTTTGCTGAATGTGGGAGGATGGAATCAGGGGATGTCGTTCTAATCGTGAGCTTGCCTACGTTCTCAGAGTGCCGAATCGGTATATGGATGAGAAGTTAACCTTTTTTTAGTATGAGGCGTTTGCGGTGATTTTGGATCGTTTAGATCATGAAATAGGATGGATGAAATAGAATATATGTGTTTGAGTATGTTGATGTGGTAAGAAACTATTTGCATGTTTGAAGACTGATTGGTGCGCAGTCGCAGGCTGGTCGATTCTTTAGGAGGTAGGCTTGGTTCGAAATCTGCAATGAGTGATATGGTTATAGATTGGGATATGTTCGTAGAAGTTGAAAACCCAATCTAATATTCATGATCGTCATCGGTGTGGTGTTGGAGAAGAGAAAGAATTCACATATGAAATCATGCAGGGTGACTGGGAAATATGTTCGTTTGGACGAAATAGCTAGAGGAAGACTATCCAGTGAAGTAAATATAATGAATTCTATGTTTCATGAGATTGAAATAAGTTGACAAAATTATTGGCTACAATTAACGAAATGAAAGTTGATGAACCGTTATTTTCGTTTTGATGGATGTGATAAGACTTTGTTTCATTTTTTGTGTCGTTGTAATCGAACATACGTTTTCTGTCTCGTTACATATTCGCGTTTGCTACTGTTAGGGGTTTGTCCAATATGTGTTGGTACATCACTTATGGACGTTTTTCTGACGAAGGAAGTTAGTTCATGTCTTGGTAGGTTTTGTTGCGTGTGTCGACATCAACTACATTGGAATTGCACTATTCGCTGTTACCTGTCTCTTTACATATATGTGAAGATACGTATACATATATATGTTATTCGTTTTCTCTTCTTCTTGCTCTTGTTTGTTTTGGCTCTATTCGTTTTCGCTTGTTGTTCTCCCTACATATTTTGTGGTCAGTGTTATTGAATAAACTGAACGCTTATTCACAGAATGACAAAACTTATAGTTACCATGTATATTAAGAATTTCTGCCAGTTTTACCATCTAAGATGTATGTATAGTGTAATTTGCTTGATCTGGAATGATCGTATAGTTGTGTTATAATTATCAAGTTCTTGGTCATGAAGTGAAACCGGACTCCTGCTGGGAGAAAAACCACAATTTACAATATATAGGTGGAAAAAAAAACAACAGAATTCTATTTATTACTACAGTAACACTTTGTTGTACAAGCATGTTTCTTGAAGATGAATAAAATATTATCGATATTAATTTAGAACCAATAAATAAAAGTTATTATTCGGGGTAGATTAGCGAATAAAATTCGCCTGTGATGATGCTTACAGTTGCTGTAAATAAAACCTTGCGCTATCTCTTTTTTTGAATGACTTATAACTTACCGTTTATTTTGTGTTATACTCTTTCAACTTGAGATAAACAATGATGAAGCATATGTTTTTTGTCAAAACAAGTAATAATACGTGTGTCTATCATAGTTATAAAATACTAATTATGAAAGACAAATTAATAAATTCGACTTTGCACTGAAAAATAAAATTTAATATTTTAATGTTCAAATCAAACAATTCATGAAATCAACATATATTATTATGAATTGAAAATATGAACACTTTTACTTTTGTACTATTCTAGAATTCATGAATAGGATGGCTATACGTGTACTGAAGCTCCTTAATATTTTCCAACCAAACTAATATTCATTTCGTATGTCTTTTCGCGTCTCTTCTACCTTGTGTTTCAATATTCAAACTATCTGTTTTTTATTCTCAATGTGGTCGATTTATTTGGCTTGATATGAATCAGAGAAAACGTTCGAATCAAGTTCGTTTGTCGTGAACTCATTTCTAATGTCGGAAAACATCTTTTAGTGTGTAGTTTTAGCTATTGTATTTCATTAAGGTTGAACATAGGTATTGGAAACGAAATTACAAATAGTTTATAAGAGACTAGACTATTTTTTCTACTTCTCGATGATAACATGCTTTTTGTTCTGTATTTGAACCTTATCTGGTTCCAATAGCTGGTAGAGTCCAATCATAATATTTGATGTTCGATTAAACCGCATAAGTAAATAAATACTAAGTGAACGATCAAGAAACGTATTTCGAGTAAATTTATCATATATATCAAATAAAATTTTTGTTTCGATTTCATCTTGTATCGTTCTGAGTTATACCAACTGTTTTCGATAAAATTAATTGATCTTGATCAAAATGAAGTCGAGATTTAGAAATGCCATCATCAAAATAATACTCTGCATTATAGATATGTACACCTTATAGAAATTTATTGATTACAAAATTTCATTAAGATTTAATTAATTTTATGATGACATCCATAGATCTTTTAAATTTGATTGTATCGATTTAAAGAAAATCATCAGCGTCCCATTTTTCATAATATTTTCTACATCAAAATATGTTTATCTTAGATTCAATTTGATCCTTTTATTAAATGTTGCTTAAAATCCGAAAGAAGAATAGAAAAGGATGTCAGAGACACCAGATTGATTGCTCTTTGATTTGATTGTCTAGATGATAACCTTTTATCATAGGATTTGCATTCATTTTCATAGATAAGGACGAAAAGAAATTATTAATAGTAAATTCAATTTGTTTTTGATCTATATTTAAATGAATAGGACATGAAAATGAATAAAGTAATATTTCATCGTTGTAATCATTTATTTTAACATATAAACGAAAGTTTTTTAACGTAGTAATATTTATTAATAATGTTGATGAATAAAAATAAATAAGTGGATATCCAAGCACATAACCAAAAACAGTAGTATGATTTAATAATTGAATTAAATTAGACCATTCTTCATTTGTATCATTATTAAAATCGATTTGTTCATGTTGTCGAGTATCGATCCAAGAGAGATGATTACGTATCTAAATTTATAAGACCACAAAAGATATATTGACAATCAAAATAAATCATATATATATATCGAATATTTCTATTGATACCATAGAGAGCACACCTGTAGAATCAAACAGTGTACGCTAATATATGTAATTTAATACATCTTTTCTTCGACATATGTATGTTCTATTACGTTTTGTTTTAATCTCTTTGTTCTCTTATTCAAATACAGGCAGTATTAGGGTGTGAGTGTACGACACACCGACATGATATATTCATACCCACACTCAGACCCTACATGACAGCGCTGGAACCGGCCCGGTCGTCCGGTACCGGTCCGGCCGGACCGGACCGGTTTGGAAAATCAACCGGCCCGGACAATACCGGAATTTCACCGGTTGAAAATTTGAAAAAAATCTGCTTTATTAATCCTATTTTTGGCCATAAAAGCTAAGATGTCCCATGTTTTTTTGTCCTACCACTGAAATTCTGCCAAAAACC